ACGCAATTTTAATTTAAAATTTCTCATTTTTAAACCAAGAAAAAGCACACATGCTCAATTCTGAAGCTGATTTGCTCAATGAAAGAGCATTATAACTACAGTTGTATTACTACAACAGTCCCCTATCCTGGAAAAGACAGCACTCCTAAAAATGAAGGTTTGCAAAGACCCATCTGCTCGCTCCATTTTAATTATAGTTTTCTGTTGTTAAAATCCTGTTCTCAGGAGCTGGTAGCCAGAGCACTGTCAAGTTGATTGGATAGCATTTTCCAATGTTACTGACTGCTAAGTTTTCATGTTTCTTCTTCTATCCATAGAATCAGAGAATCATACAATATCTCAAGCTGGAAGGAATTCATAAGAATCACTTAGTCCAAATCCCCGCTCCTTGCAGAACTACCTGAAATTAAACTATATGACTAAGAGTTCTCCAGAACTGTTCTGTTCTCCAGACAGTCCTTGAATTCTGACAATCTTGGTGCTGTGACCTCTCCTCTGCGGATTCAGTCACTGACCACCATCTCCATGAAGAACCTTTTCCTAATGTCCACTCTGAGCTTCTCCTGATACAGCCTCATTCCATATCCCCATGTCCTCTACTGGCCACCAAGAGAGGAGATCAGCACCTCTCACTTCACTGCCCACCTTGAGGTCACCTCAGCCTTTTCTTCTCCAAGCTGAGGAAACCAAGGAGCCTCAGTCTTGCCATTGAGAATTTTCCCCATATTGGTCACACTCTTCTGGACACTTCAATAGTTTGATGTTCTTTTATTGTGGCACCCAGAACTGCCCCAGCACTTGAGGTGAGACTGCCCCAGTGCAGAGCAGAGCAGGACAATCCCCTCCCTTGCCTGGCTGGCCATGCTGTCCCTGATGCCCCCAGGATATGGCTGTCCCTCCTGGCTGCCAGGGCACTGCTGACCATGTTCAGCTTGCCACCAACTCAAATCCCCAGATCTCTTTCCCCAAGCCACTCACCCTCAAATCTGCATGTACATACAGGATTACCCTATCTCAAGTGGAGAGTCCTGCAACTGATCTTGTCTAGTTTCTAATGGTTGGTAGTTGCCCAAATTTCTAATTTACACACATCTCTCTGCAGAGCCTCTCTACCCTCGAGGGACTCCACAACTTTTCCGAGTGTAGTAAAATCACCACACCTATTCAATGTGCATTTGATCCCTGCATCCAGATCTTTTATAAAAACAGTATAGAGCACTGGCGCTGAAATGGAGCCCTGAGGAACCTCTGGTCCCTGGCTGCCAGCCTGATGTAACAACATTTACCAAAACCCTTTGAGCCCAACCCACCAGCCAGTTGCTTACACAATGAATTATGGACTCAACTGGTTGTGTGCCAGGCAGTTTATCCAGTAGGGTACTGTGGCAGACAGAACCAAAAGCTCTGCTGCAATAAAACCAGCCCACATCTACTGTCTTCCCTTGGTCACCTACTTTGACATAAATGAAAATTAAATTGGTCAAACAGGACTTTTTCCTTGTGAACCCATGCTCACTGTGATGACTGCATTGTCTCTCAAACAATGTTTCTCAGTAACTCCCAGAAAAACTTTCCCTATGATTTTATCACGTGCTACAGTGAAAATGCCAGGCCTATAACTTCCAGAGTTTTCTTTTTCTCCTTCTTGAAAACCGGGACAAATTTCCAGATTCCAGCTGACTGGGACATCTCTAGACTAACAAGACAAATTAAATATAATGGAGGGAGGTCCTGCTAAGTGCATCAGTCAGTTTTTCCATGGAAGGAATCCTATCCTCCCCATACACCTGTGTGCATCCAACTGAAACAGCAAGTCTCAAACAATTTCAGGATTGCCTGGGAATCTGTCATTCCCCAAGTGACAGTCTTCCAGCAATGGAATCCCAGCCCATCTTGGTCTTGAAGACAGATGGCGAAGGTTGCATCATTCTCTGCTCTGTCTGTAATTTTATTTGGATCGCATCAAGCAATGGATCAATATTATCTCTGATCCTTTTTTTGCTGTTAACATATAAAACCCCAAAAATCTCTTTTTGTTTTCCTTCACTGCTTGTCCTGCACAGCTTGAATTCTGTCTGAGTTTTGGTCACACAAATTTTCTCTGCACAGGGATGAGCAGCATCTCTGTCATCCTCCCATGTCACCTTGTTTCCAGTGTTCATATGCTTTCCTTCTCCATCTAAGTTCACTGCTCAGTCTAGGCAACCTTCTGCCTCATTGGCCTGGCTTTCAACATGTTGTGTTTGGCTCCTGCACTCTTAAAAGAGAGTTCTTGAAAAGCGTATAACAAGCATATAACAAGCATATAACTCAAATAGCTTTAAAAAAACAGATTCCCAAGAGACTTTCCTAACTAGTTCTTTAAGCAGCCCATAGTCTGCTCTTCCCCATACAAGAAGACAAGCAATTATTACTAATGACATTTATGAAGAAAAGCAGCACACTAAATAACGTAGATAAGTTAAAAAAGTGGGTCCTTTCTAGTCACTTCATTTTTTTATGTGTCTAGACTGAGAACCTAGCACCTCAGAACCAACTCCCACCTGAAAATAAAGAACATATAAAAAACAATTTTATTTTAGCTATTTTGCCAGTTAGAGACAAGTTTGAGCAGAGGGCAGAAGGTGCCCCAGAGCTCTGTTCCAAAGAATATTTAGGTCAAAGAGATTAGTCTGAGCAGACCAAAGCTATTGATCTTCCTTGCTTTTCTTAGTAATGATGTCCAAGATCTGAGTCCATGTGCATGAGGAGCTGGTACCTGACAGTCATGAAGTTCACCCTGTAGAAGCTCCTGCTGCTTCAGTATGGCACAAGAAATGATCTCTTGAATAGTGAGCAATAAATCTTACTGGATACTTCTCAGAAGTGAAGCCAGGAAGCCTGCAAAAAGCGAAATTAAATGTTACAGCAGACATTGGCATGAGGAATATGGTTATAGTCTACTCCGGATCTTGATGAAGAAAAATTCAAGAACTTTTCGCATTAAAATGATAGCATTGTGAACTGTCCTTTTTCTTATGTCTGAATTAGCTTGCTTAGGAGAAAGAAATAGCCTTGAAACTTGACATTAATTTGCATTAAGGTTGCTATACAAAGGACTAACCATGGTGTGGTTTAATGCTCAAAGCAAACTGCAAAGCAGGTTGGTATCTCTAAAGAGGCACTGACAATCCCTATTAATAGGGGGCTTGCCTCTTTTGCATCAAGAAAGAGAACAGACGGGTGAGACAAATTCACTTTCAGGTAGATTAAAGATGAATTACAAATAATTCAGGCCTTAAACAGTGTGACTCAAAGAAACCTTGAACAGTTTCACGTGATCCACTCAGTAGAACACAGACTGAGAACAAAAGTATTGCAAAATGCTCAGCTATGGCATCTTCCATTTTGTCAAGAACTAGTAAACATAAATACAAAAGCTACAACTGGAGATAAGGAAACAGGAGAAAAGAGGGAGACATTCTCATAGCAACAGCAATTGCTTCACATAGGACACTACCAAAACAACAGTACCGGGGTCTGCAGGAGCAAGAACCTGAGAGCAGTGCAGAAGGACAGGAGCCTGAGGACAACAAAGTGAAAACACTGACATTCTCATAGCAACAGCAATTGCTTCACATAGGACACTACCAAAACAACAGTACTGGGTCTGCAGGAGCAAGGACCTGAGAGCAGTGCAGAAGGACAGGACCCTGAGGACAACAAAGTGAAAACACTACTGCTGTGCTCTGGGGTACACTGTCCCAGCAGCCTATGTGAAAGAGAGCTGCAAGCAGAAGGCAGGCTACAAAACCGCAGACGGGATGTCTTCCAGACCAGCCAGGTCGCTGCCAAAGCTAGTAGTTTCCCAATGCCTTGTCCCTTCCTGCACCAGCCTGGATACAGGTGGAGTAATGAGCTGCTGCTTAGGAGTTTTAAGTCAGGTGCTAAGAGCAGGCACAAGGAACCAGCACTTTCTTGTGTGCATCCCCTGCTTTACAGGAGCTCCAGCTTAGCTGAAGTGCTCTCAGTGTCAAGGGGAAGTAACCTGGTTTTTGGGATGTTCATTGTTACAGGAATTGCTGACGCCAGCTCAAACAGAGCTGAAGATGAAACCTCCCTCCAAACACAGAGAAAGCATCTCTCCTGTCCTGCTAGTTACTGACTGCAGCTTTATACTACACTAACACCATCTGCAAGAGAAACAAGAGTGACTTTATGCTGTTTCTCAGCAGCTTTGAAGAGTTTGAAACTGGAAACTCCTTCATACCCCTGCCCTTTGCTTCCACTGAGCCCAGCAGAACATTTGACCTGCACTCCCAGAGTACATTCAAAGCTTCAGGCACAGACTGAAATATTCCTCAGCTCTTAACCAAATGGAGGTATTCTAACTGTGAATAAAATGAAATTACTTTTATTTGCTCACCTTTTGAAAACATTTTAAGAAATACACCAGTGAGTTCCTGCTCCTTATCTGCATATCAATTATTCATTATTTTCATTAAAGAAAACCAAGCCCAGGAGGATGAAAGAAATCTGTAGTACTCTCTTTCTCTCTTCCCCTCATACATTTTTATTTCAGATTACTTTTAATCCATATATATTTGTAATAGGAAAATGTGGGGGTTTCACTAGCAATAAAACTTTAAGGGATTTTCCCCCTTACTGATTTTTCATAGATTTATGGATCCATAATCATTCACGTCACAGTCTAAGGGAAACGAGGTTTGAACAGGATAATAGCGCTTAAATCCCCTCCTCTAAGCACTCAGATCTTTGCTGTCAGCAAGATTAAAACGGTCAACAGCAGTCTTCATGTGTCTATATCCCACACTGAGCTTTCACAACAACTGCAGTGGTGGCTGGCAGGGAGAAATATGCAGAACCACTGCTGTGCATAATACTTCTGAGATAAAGAGAGAAGAAAACCAGGTTGCCAGCTTTTGCAGTGTTGAGAAGGACTGGTGTTAACTGCTTGATCGGGTGAATGCAAAGAGGGGAGAAGAGTAAGGAGTAATATTATGCTGCAATTTAACAGTCAGCAAGAGTTTCTTTTCCTAAAGCATAAAGGCAGAGAGATGGAAACACCAAACATCCTCCTGCAGCCCAGCAAGGGGAAGGAGAAGGAAGTCATTCATGTAGACACGCAGAGTGGTTCCTCTGCCACCGCTCCCTTGAACACGCAGTCCCTACTGCAACCAGGACCTGAGGGGAATTACAACTATTATGTGGATGATGAAGATGAGGAAGATGAAGAGAAAGAACAAGGAAAATGGCAACATGAAGATGCATTTAAGGGAGAAAGCAAGGCGTCATCATTTATTCCTTGTTCTCCTGCTCTTTCCTCTAGATCCCCGGCCACATCATCTGCTCCATCCATACTGAACATCAATGTTGGTGGCCAAAGTTACCGCCTCACCTACCAGGCAGTGGCCATCTACCCCAAGACCCGCCTGGGCCGCCTGGCTACCTCCACTGACCGCCGCTGCCAGCTGGGCCTGTGCGATGACTACGCTGCCCAGGTTGATGAGTATTTCTTTGACCGGGACCCAGCCGTCTTCCAGCTGGTGTACAATTTCTATGCCTCGGGAGTGCTGCGGGTGAGGGACGAGCTGTGCCCCCGTAGCTTCCTGGAGGAGCTGAGCTACTGGGGCGTGCGTCTCAAATACACACCCCGCTGCTGCCGCATCTGCTTCGAGGAGCGCCGGGACGAGCTGAGTGAGCAGCTGAAGGTCCAGCGGGAGCTGCGCTCCCAGGCAGAGGCTGAGGAGAATGAGCAGCTTTTCCACCACATGCGCTACTATGGCCCCCAGCGCTGGCGCCTCTGGAACCTCATGGAGAAGCCCTTCTCCTCTGTCACCGCCAAAGTGATGGCAGTGGCCTCCAGCTTCTTTGTGCTCATCTCCGTGGTGGCTCTGGCACTCAACACAGTAGAGGAGATGCAGCAGGTAGATTGGAAGAGTGGGGATAGTCGGCCTGTCTTGGAGCATGTGGAGACCTTGTGCATTGCATTCTTCACACTGGAGTACCTGCTGCGCTTGGTCTCTACCCCAGACCTGCGCCGCTTTGCCAGCAGTGCCCTCAATGCAGTAGACCTCATTGCCATCCTGCCCCTCTATCTGCAGCTACTGCTTGAATGCTTTACTGATGATGACCAGCCCCGGGGTCGGGGCTCCCAACACGAGCACGATATTGAGAAGGTGGGACGGGTGAGCAAGGTAGGACAAGTGCTTCGCATCATGCGCCTCATGCGCATCTTCCGCATCCTCAAGCTGGCCCGCCACTCCACAGGGCTGCGTGCCTTCGGCTTTACCTTGCGCCAGTGCTACCAGCAGGTGGGCTGCCTTTTGCTCTTCATTGCTATGGGCATCTTTGCCTTCTCTGCCATGGTCTACACAGTGGAGCACGATGTCTCCAGTACCAACTTCACCAGCATTCCCCATGCTTGGTGGTGGGCTGCCGTAAGTAAACACATCTTACCTTGCTGGGTAGCCAGAGGCCCTCCCTTCCTTCCCCTCCCCTTCCCCTCACCTCCCAGCTGGAGCTGCTGACAGTCTTGAAAACAACAGGCTCAGATCAGTGAACATCTGCTCTGAATTCTGAGCTTACAGTACATATGCATGCCTGCGTGCGCACACACACACGCACACACACACGCACTCATTCACCTCTCTCTAAGCTTAAATCAAGGCTTTATCAGGCAGGCAGTCTTGCAATTCCCATATCTCCAAATGCAGACAGTATTTTCACTCTTAAAAAAGAAGTGGGCAAAGACAGGGGGAAAAAAGCATTTCCCAATTTAGTGCCATTGTCAGTGTTGTCAAAACAACAGAGGAATAAATTCAGCTATCCAGTTACAGGGGTTTTGTTCTTATTCTATGCACAGACTTTCTGTGACCCATAAAACTACAAGATGATGAGACATAGTTTATTAACTACAGTCAGACCACTCACACTTTAAGAGTGAAAGCTGTCCCAGGACTCTGGCTGTTAAAATCCATTAGGACCAACAGTTATTTTACACAAGAGATTGTTTTCTGCTATGCTGCAGAAGATGTCTGTATTTATAGCACCCTAGATGACACCAGGGGGTAGCTAGACATTGTCGATGCTGAGGGAAGGCACAGGACCCACATCTTGGCCATCCATAACCCTGAGGTTTATCCTAGATTATTGTCATATGCATTTTGTTTTGCAGCAGCTGATGCCAGCCTGCATAGTCTATTTTTATGTGGGGCCTTGGGAGCACTTCTGACCCCTGGGCATGGCTATGGGTCTGGTTCTGTCCCAGTCACTTCCCTGGAGAAAGAAGCTCACGCAAATAGACTGGATAGGAGTTAGAACATCTCATGCTGGTTGTCCCAAGATGTATATGAGGCCCACCAGACAGTAATCCCAACCCATTCAAGGTCACTTCTCCTGGCCAGCCATCCTGGAGCCCAAGGTCTGCACTTCTGGTTCAGCCATGGACAATGAGATGTGGTGGTTTACCACACATTTGCAGTGATTCAGCACGTGGCAGGAAAAAAAGCCTTACAGACAAGCATAGATGCCCACATTTATATGCGTACATGCATATGTGTAACCTTGCTGAATGTCCTTTAAGCTGGGCCATGGAAGGATGGAAAAAACAGCGAATAAAGGAAAGGGTCCTGTAATGTGACCTTCATAGATCATCTGTAAGTGATATACAAAGGCTATGAAAACACTGATTCATACATTGCTAAAATACCTTGTCTTCTGAACATGCAGGCTATATGCAAAATCTTTAGCGCTCATTTTTGCAAACTGGTGTTAGCATAATAATTAAGATATTCCTAACAAACTTATATGGCTATGTGAAAAAGGTCTATTTACGTGAGCAAATGCCTTCAAAACAGGAGCTGTATCTGGCACATTGCAATTCCAAAGCATAAAACACTTTAAAGTCTATTCATTCTTTAAGACTGTAAATTAAAATATCTATATCATTCCATTTTTATAAAAATGCAACAGCATTCACCAACTCACACATGCAGGAGAAGAAGCATCCCTCCTAAACTGTTACAGGCAATGTATAAGACTATGCCAATGGTGCAGAACCTTATCACAGGATAACGTTTTTGTCCTGGCTGGTAGAGATAAACATCTTGCCTTCATCTCAGTATTTATTTTTGGAGATATTTATCCTGTATTATCATTCAAATCCAGTGACTTAATTTCCATTAAACCAAATCACTAATCCTTTTTATTCCATAGGAAGCACCAGGTGCATCCTAAAAATGTGCTCACCAGTGCTGCCTCATATACTCTAGTGTTTTCTTCATTTAAAATACCAGTCTATTTACCATTTTGGAAGACAGAAAACTCTACACAGTGACCTTCTGAAGACTAATTTTAGTGTTAAAACCACAAGGGCATTACAGTGAAAGTCTTACTCTCTGTGGCTTATTTTTGTCAGAATTCTAGGTTACTCTTTAAAAGATATACACAGTGTGTTGAGACACTGTGAAAAAAATTAAATAAAATTCACTGACTGAAAAAGATCTCTTGCACAGACTAGAAAGTGAGAGGTGATAGCAACATGCAAGTTTTACCTGCCAGGAAAGAAGTACTCGGTGTAAAAAATACAAAATATCAAAATGTATGCAGTGAAATTAAATAAATTAGGAGTTATCTTAAGCTGACTGTTTGAGAGTACATTTTTCAAATGTAGCATCTCAATAATCAAATATCCATTAATTTTTTATCTGAATTTTATAATGGAAGTATTTCAGTACTTGGTGTAGCACTGGACCCATAAAACAGTTCCCTCATATATCCACAGGCTAGAGAAGAAAATTATATTGGCTGAGAAGAAAAATTTAAAGGTATGTACACCGTGACCTGGCAAAGTGTTCAGAATCATATAAAATAAATACACTAAAAACCATCACTCTCAAATAAAAACCCCAAAACCAATCTAACAACCAAAGCTGAAACATTTTTAACGACCCCAAAATCCTGCTTCAAAAGGAAATTCGGCAAAAATTACCCACCTATGTACTTATTTAACATTATAATTATACATATTGCAATCATACACCACAAGAAAAACCTTCCAGGCCAAAATTCTTTGTAGGTATGTAATCATTAAAGGGGATTTTATCTAGAAACTTTGAAGTCCTGGATCATCTCTTCCTCTAATGCAAATAGGAAAATTTATTTCATAATTAATAGAAGGGTTTTGTGTGTTTTTCATTACTTCCTAAAATATATATGAAAAACAAAGGTAAAACTCAAAATACAATCCACAGAATAAGTCCCAAATACTGGGTTTTATCAGCACAGTGGATTTAGAAACAGGACATCTGTTCCAAGTGACATGATGAGGGAGCAGGATTGCAGCTATCCGTGGATTTGCATGGTTAGGGAGCCACATCAATCCTCCCCCTACAGCTAAGCAAACTCACCTTGTGGTATGGAAATTGTCTGGGAATTCCATCTGCAGGGCAAAAATCTAAAAATCCTCCTGAATGGTGTTAAACCACTGTCTTTCTTTACTTCATGAGAGGGTTTGGGTTTTTTTTAAATTAGGGATATTTTGCATAAAAAAGCTAGGAGACACATTTACACACAGAGACCAAAAAAACAAAAAAAAAAACCAAAAAAAACCCCAAAAAACAAAAAACAAAAAAAAAACCACACAAAAAAACCCCAAACAAACAAACAAACAAAAAAACCACCAAAAAATAGCACAGACTGCTTTTTAGACTTACAATGCAAATTTAAAAAGAGCTAACTTTAACACTGTCCCCGATCAATGAACGTATTTGTCTATGTATTTCTGCTCAGCTAATAAGCTGCATGTTGGTTTGCCTGTAGGTCAGCATCTCTACAGTGGGATATGGAGATATGTGTCCAGAAACTCACCTTGGACGCCTGTTTGCTTTCCTCTGCATCGCTTTTGGAATAATCCTGAATGGCATGCCCATCTCCATCCTCTACAATAAATTCTCAGACTATTACAGCAAGCTGAAGGCCTACGAGTACACAGCTCTCAAGAAAGAAAGAGGGAAGGTTGACTTCACACGGAGAGCCATGAGGAAAATATCTGAGTGCTGCGGAGAAGGTGCATCCCACCCTTTGCCACAGCAATGATAGTTTGGGCTTTGGATATTGGGAGGCCACCAAGAAGCTGGAGGAGAAAGAGGAAAAACAAATCAGCCAAAAAATAAATTAAAAGGGCCAAAAGTAACAAAAGTAGGTGGTGAAATCTGTTTTGAAGGGGGTTGTTAATTTTCAAAACTAAAAAGGTTCAGATTAAAACAGATTTTTTTGGAACTCAGATAGCCTGTGAGCAGCACTTGAGTGCTCATCAACTTTCTGAAATTAATTCCTTCAAATTTAACATTCAGAATAAGCCTCACATTAAGATCTAAGCCCCTGCTACTGATTAGATTGACAATAAAGACCCACCATATTTGTACAAACAGAAAACAAATTACTGTCATTAAGGGTCTCCCACCTTATCTCTGTCAAGGCAGTGTCAAAAATTAAACTAATAGAATACTTAATATACTGACTGCATCACTTACACTGGTTTTGCATCAGCTTTCAATTAGAGAAAAATGGCCTAGAGCACTTACCTAAATATTAGAAGCAGCTATAATCCCTAAAATGTCAGCCTCTGTTTCCATTGCCAGATAGCTATTCTTCATTGTTCTAATTTTATTTTCCAATGCAGCCCTGCAAATGAGCCCTCCTATTTTCATGCCTAGTCAAGCAATGCACTGCTTTAGGATTTTCCTCCATAATCATCTTTCAGTATAACAAGAGCTAGTGAAGAATTCTGGAGTCCGAGTTGATAAATCTCATTGATCAAATTTCCAAACCCAATTCTTTTTAGGTACAGGATTAAGTAGTAATTTATTCTGCAGTATATAATGTATCTACTTATTGGATTGTTAGAATAATAGACCTGTCAAGGAACATAAGTATTAAAGAAGTAATTATAAAATAATCAAAGGAAATATGTGAGTAGCAACTCTTAAAGACTATTAATACAAAGGATCTTATCAGCACTTCACTGTAACCAATTTTAAATATTATTTAAAATCAAGATGATTTGTCTGGTACATACAGCCATTAGGGACATAATCCTGACATTTTAGCTCATCCCCAGGAGTAGTTTATGTTCTAAGATTACTGTGTCTTTTTGCACAGCTGAATGGGATTTCTCATGTGTCTAAACTCATCCCAAAACTTAAATAACAAATAAAACCAACAATAATCAGACGGAATTGCAGTTTTATGTATTACTTCTGAAACTATAAGGAATATTTTTTTTTTACATAAGAGCAGTCATACCAATTTAGAAACAGTAATCTGAATAACAGATCTGAAAGAAAAAATATTTTATTGATAATCAGATGCAAAGACCTGAAAGAAAAAAAGTGTAATGAAAAGGATCAACAGCAACAGTGCCCTGGTATGACCCATGGCTGTTAGTCAGCAGCACTCCTGCTGCAAAGCGTCTTGATGACAGAGATGCATTTCAAAACTCTTGAACTCTCACATTGTGTCTGTGCTGCCCTGATGAATGCAAATAGCTGCATTAAGATCTCAGGGCCACATGGGACACAATGGTGTGAAGCTCACTCTGGGACAGCTGAGGGTGAAATTGTTCATTAATTTTGACACATCCATGTGAGTTGTGTCAAGCATGGGGACATTTCTCCTTTCAGTGGTGGGAAGGTAATTAGTAACCAACTTGCTCCTCTCATTCTCTACCTCCAGACGAACGTATCATAAGCCCATCTGTCATTTTGTTCTTTAGGAATGACAGTCAGAGAACACTGTGTGCTGATCAGCTCTGTTAAAAGCTAAACCATGTCTTTAAGGCACAGCTGAGCCCTGGGAGTTTAATGTGATAGATGTTTGCTGTTCTGGACTGCACACAATGCAGCAGGCACAATCCTGGCACTCACTGAGAAGAATAGCTGCTTTGCTTTGGCTCTAGGGAATTTGCATAGCCCTTCTGCACAGCAACAACAGGACAAGAAGCTTCCAGGAACCACAGGAAACCTCACTGTTCAGTGAGGTGACAAGTTGCAAAAACATAACTATGCTTTGTTTTCAACATGCAAATTGATTTAGACCCATTAAAAGGATTTAAAATCTGGTGATGACTGAATTTTCCAAAATGCAGGACACTGTAAATAAATTTCTTTGCTGAAGGAATTCATACTTGCATGACCATGCAGATGGGATCCAGATGCTCAGCCTTGCATGGCAGGCTCAGCAGCTTCTTGCCACCTACAGAAATCCAGAGGCTGAGGACTAACTCTGCTGAGACTGGACTTTGTCACAGCCTCAGACCTGACAAAGATCTCATTTTCCATCCCATTTGCCTCACCTGCAGGACCTATTCAACTAGACATTTTTGAAGACATCTTATGAAATAGATTTTCCACACCAAACTCAAGCAGAAGAAAAAGGAGTCTCGTCTCTGAATCAGGAGTCAGAATTGAATCTCCCTGGCAAATGCTCTATCTGTTCAATAAGATTTCAGTGCGCAAATCAGTACTGCTCTAACTGTTCTAATGCAGCTTGAAGAGGGTCTCTTGCACCTCTCTAGCTGAATCTGCTCCACTTCACATCAGGTAAATAATGGCCCACAAGGCGACAGTAAAAGGGAGACCATGCAGCTTGGTGTTTCCAGCACTTAGCTGGGTGGAACAGTGTGTCACAGGCCCTGCTTCAATAAAGAGCTATGAAAGCCCTGACCAAGCAGCAAAGACTTCCCAAACACACAGCCTCCTCTGGCCCAAGCAATCTTCAGTTGAGGGCTTCAGTTTGGAAGGAAGTCAGAGTCTCCACACACTACAGACATATGAAGGCAAAACTTCTTTAAAGTACCTCACAGCCTAATGGCTATGGGCCAAAATCACTGCCAGATACAGAGGAGATTTGTCCCATCAGAAGGACAACACATTGTGACCAGCACCACCAGGTGCCATTTGGGCACCCTGAGCACCAAGGCCATCACACTTTGGGCAGCTCAGCTTACCTAGCAGCTGCTCCACTCTCTTTTTTCTCAATGCACTTTGCCCCCTCATCTGTCATTCAGACCCACCATCTCACAGATGGCAGCTTTGGTACCACCCTGACTACTCTGTGCACTGACTGAGCACACAAATGTGACTCTTTGGAGGAGTGGGGATAGATTCTCACTTGGCTCATGACCAGACTCAGTGCTGAGAGCTCTCACTAGCACTAGAGTTGGCACAAGGTACTTATTAGAAGGTGCAGTCCAGAGGACACACCTCTGGCAGTGAAACACTAAGCATAAGGCTACGCAAAGTTGCTGCATTTTGTTTTGCAATATCTGTCACCTCTGGTCTGCTGCACTTGAGGAGGTGAATTGGAGCTTAGTGGAGTAAAGCACTTTCCAGAAAATTAGAAGTTAGTGTTTGTTAGGTGTTTTTCCCTAAAGCTTTGTAATTTTCTTCTCTGGATTATTTTATGCGGTTTTCTGCCTTTGGCTTAACTGTTTTTATTTTTGGGGTGACAAGCATTAGTCTGTGCATTTTAATAGGAAAGATTATGCCTAAATTTGAAGTACCATTATAGGAGCCAGACAGTGCCTGGATTGCTCAGGGCTCTGTCAGTGCCACTACTTGTTACACTGCCTGTGTAGATGGGAAATAGAAAGATCCTTCCACAAATTCTCTCCTGCTCCTACCATACAAAGGAGATCTCCAGCCAGCTCAGAGATAGGAACAAGTTCATATTCCCACAGAACAGACTTTTGAGAACATGCAGAAGGCTGTGCAAACCTGTATCAGCTGGTTTTGAAAGAGAATGAAGAATTTTTGCCTTTTTTTTTCTTTTTGACATGTTTCTCGCAGAAGACTCAGTTAATCTATTGTGCCACATCCACAAAGACTTTCAGTAGCATCACTGTCCCTAAATTACTCAAACAAAACAGTCAAGTGGTAGACATGATGACATCCAAAAACAACGGAGGAGAGTCATTGTCTTGCTTACTTGCATTCCATACGGCTTTGGCAATCAAAAGGTTTTGAAATAACACATCGAGGGAAAACATGCTTAAACACAACAAGATGGGCAATACTACTAAAGATAAAGTAGACAGATTTTTTTTTGTGAGGTGCTAATTTGGCATAACTAAGGTTTTGGGGAAACAGGGTGGAGAATTCTCAAACTGCTGAGAAATTAGAAATCTCTCTAAATATGGCCATGCTAGAGTCTTCTATTTTAACTAATTGCAGATACTAATGAGACCCAGAGGGAGAAGGAAAATATATTCTATCACTATGTTTCACTACAGACTTGGCAAACATGGTGTCTTTGTAAGACAAAGAAACAGTCAGTTTATCTGGATGGCCTGTCTTCATTTTAGGAGAACCAAGTATTGTTTCTTCCACTTAATTTAGTCTTGGGAATTATTGGGGGAAAAGTGGGATGAAAAAGAACAGAACAGTAAAAAGGAAAAAAATGAAAAAGAAAGAAGAATTTTTTTAAAAAAATATGCGTGCGGGTAGTAGAAATGTAGAGTCTGTCCCTATATGAGCTAGTGGAAAGAATTCCACTTAGAATAGGCTCCTGCACAAATACTGTCTTTGAAGAACATCACTTTTTTAGTGCAGTTTAGGAGCTGTTTACTTTTCTCATTCAGAAAGATAATACTTAAAGGGGTAGCTGTGTACACCACAGATTAATAGACATCTGGTACTATTCCCAGGTTTCTAAGGCAAATAGCAATATTCAGTCTTTAAATATTGTAAGTAAACTAAGTGAAATTTTAAAAATATCAATTAGGAATACTTCAAGGTTTTTGATGAAATATAATTACTATCAATAAGACTAAAATAAAAGACATCACCTTGCTTAAAAAAACCTTCAACTGTTTAGACCATTCTAGTTTTATGTCATGCAAAAATATGCTTATCTACTATTTCAAAACTTTTATTAACTTCTTTATTTGGTAGTATAAAAATTACCTTTGCAAATTACCATTTGTCAAAATGCCTTTTGACTGTAATCCAGTCCTTTATCTAGCACTACAATAGTGAAAGGTCAGAGGTAGAAGTTTTTTATGTACTTAGTTAATTTAATGGAAATATGCTGAGAAAAATTAAAGATTTCTACAAGTCTTGAGATAGAGATTATCATTGGTTTTAAAGAAAACTTGTCAGAGTCGAGCTCTACTCTAAAAA